CACGATTTGATCACCGTGTCCAATCAGCGCTGAAAGAGGCCAGGGCGTGCTTAGAGAAAGCACGAGATAGGCAGTCAAAGCATGCTGACCGCCATCGAAGAGAGGTGTCGTTTAGTAAAGGGGATGACGTCCTCCTTTCGACACAGCATATTACTCTCAAACACCCTGGGACTCGAAAACTATTACCGAGGTGGATTGGGCCCTTCACCATCCTCGACCGGATAGGTTCTGTCGCATATCGACTAGAACTCCCGGAAAGCATGCATAGGATACATCCGGTATTTCATGTATCGAAGATTAAGCCTTATAAGGCAAGTGGCAGAGTACAGCCACCCCCAGTACCTATCGAGATCGAAGGTGAACTGGAGTATGAAGTTGAACGTATCCTTGATAAAAGGATTAAAAAGCGTGGGAGACGCGAAAACTATGTTGAGTACCTTGTCAAATGGCTGGGATATGGACATGAGCATAACAGTTGGGAATCAGCAAAGTCAGTTGCAAATGCACAGGAATTGGTTCAAGCATTTGAAAATGGCAGAACACCTGTGATGCGAATGCAAACTGCATGAAGTACGGGATGTACATACTGAAACATTCTCATGTGTGCTTATGCTTTTGACAGGTTCTCTTGCGCTGGGCCCAGAAAAACACTGGGTATACTGCCCCCCGTGCAAGGTCGCAGTTTGGACACATGAACGCCATGTCCGTTGCGATCCTCAGCGGGGAGAGGTTGGAGACCGCCGACCCCTACGTGCCATTTCCCCGTGCGCCTGAGCGTGCACGCGGACGTGGGCGACGGCGGGGTGCCGCACCGGGCCGATCTGTACCGGCGTGGGCTTCTGGTGGTACTCGGCATCGTGGTCGCCGATGAAAGGCCGGGAGGTCAAACATTTCCAGCCACTTGGCTGAGGAAGAGTTTTAATGAGGGTTGTGAAGGCGGGGACGGTCATGTAAAACAACCACTCTTTCTCTTCATCCAAAACTGTTTTGTGTGTTGTGTTTTGTTAACTGGGCATGTGGCAAATCGCACAGCCAGTTCCACCAATATACATACAATGTTTCTGCTCCCGTATCCACTTATACTGGGACGAGGACGCCCCTCTCCCTGAGGGGGACGAATGTTACGCGCACCAGCCTGATGTGGGAGGCGTCCTACTAATGGCCCTTGGTGTGGGGGACGCCCTGCCCAAGGCACGTACTATTCCTCACCCATTGTAACCTTTATCCATATTAGGATACGGGAGTAGGAGGGGTGGTCCCGCCTAGGTGCCCTGTAAGGACCTAGGTGCCCGGCGAGGCGGGTCCGCGGCTCAAAGAGGGCAGGAACCCCACACCCACATCCTATTCATAACAATTTGATGTCCGTATGTGCACCTGTGACCTGACCCGCAACTCCAGGGTACTGGCCTTTTGACCTTAGATCTTCCTCTCTAAATCTGAGGTCTTAGCCTTTCGGCCTGCTTTCGAGCCCATCTTCTCTCTCCGTCCGGTCTCACCTGGCGATGGGCTCTTTCTTTTCGCCCGCGGCTTGCCGACCGTCTTCCAGTCACCCTCGGCTTCTGGAATCATCGGCATCGGCTGTCCTGTCGGACTGGCGGCCCTTTCGGCCTGTTTTGCGGGTTGGGTGATTTTCTCCTCCTCCTCTCTTGCCCGCATCTTCTGCTTCAACAGCCGATCGCTCAGCGTGGCTACCTGCTGTTCAGCCGATGCCTTCGCCTCCGCGGCCTGGCGACTCCGCTCCTTGGCTTTCTTCAGGGCGACTTCATGTCGCCTGGCCTCCTTCTACGCAGAGGCTGCCGCGATCTCCAGCTTGGCGATCTGGGTGGCAGTCTCCTTGTCGCGCGTCTCTTGGGCCTGCGAAGCCGCAGCTGCTGCTATTTGCTCCAAGAGCTCCATGATGCCCGGTGCTTAAAGAAGAGCCGCCATGGTTCCTGGCTCCGCCGCCTCTTCTTCCTAGGGCGCCTCCGCCTCGGTCATTGGATGGTCGTGCTCCTCTTGTCCCGACAATGCACCAGTTATGTCCTTTCGGACTTCTTCCTGCTCTTGCCCATTTCGGGCTGTGGTTCCCTCACTGGCCGAACTTGCCAGGGTCCCCTGTCAGGGTGAATCTCCCATTTTGGGTGTGCCCTGTCGGGCTGTGGAGTCCTTTTCCTCAGCCTCCATCGAGGAGGCCGGGGAAGAAGTCCTAGTGCTTCTACTTCCGCGTGCTTCTAGTCAAAAGCGTGGTCGCCACCCTCAGGTGGCTCCGAAACCAAATGATACGAAAAGGTTGTGGGTGTGGGGTTCCTGCCCTCTTTGAGCCGTGGACTAGAGGTGGCCATTCAAGGGTGCCATCCGGTCCGTTAATTCCGGTTCGTTAATTTTTATCAGCTGTCCGTTAAATTTCGTTAAAGAAAAAGGGAGAAAAATTCAGAAAAAACAAAAAAAATCCAAAAAAATCGAAAAAAAAACAAAAAATCACAACAACTGCGGCTAGTTGAAAATCTAGTATGCATAGGTTGAAATAAAATACAAACATACTCTCTAATAGCGAATTCCATAAACTATAAGTACGACGAAAACCCAAAAATCCCCAAAAAATCCAAAAATCCGCTAATTTTTGGTTAATTTTTGTCTTTTTTCGTTATTTTCCGTTAATTAACGGAAAATTAACGGAAATTAACCTCTGTCCGCTATTAACGGATCCGGGTGGCCACCTCTACCGTGGACCCGCCTCGCCGGGCACCTAGGTCCTTACGGGGACCTAGGCGGGACCACCCCTCCTACTCTTGTATCCTAATACCTAGAGCGGTTACGATGGGTTGAGGACTAGTTAACTTGGGCAGGGCGTCCCCTACACCAAGGGCCATTAGTAGGGCGTCCCCCACATTAGGCCGCTGCGCGTAACAGACGGGGACGGACTTTGGTCCGTTCCCGTTCCTGTCCCTGCCCCCATTCTTAGTCCGTCCCCGTTCCGGGACGGTCCGCCTCTGGTAGACTCGCAGTGCATCTAGGTCCCACCTAGGACTACTCGCAGTGTGCCTAGGTCCCCGTTAGGACCCAAGTACCCGGCGAGGTGGGTCCGCGGTTTAAAGAGGGCAGGGACCCCATACCACTAACGGTGTTGTATCAGTATTAAAACCCGAACCGGAACTTATACTATTATGCGATACGGGAGTAGGCTGGGGTAGTCCCGCCTAGGTCCTCGTAAGGACTTAGGTGCCCGGCAATGCGGGCCCGTGGATTAAAGAGGGCAGACGCTCTATACAACTAATGTTGTTGTATTACCCGGGCATTCTGCAGGCCTGGGCCTACACTCCGCATCTGAAGAGACGAGCGCTCCTGAAAGCCCACCGGCCATCCGGCGGAGAGGGCTTCCCGGCCCCATCGGGCGCCTTGGCAAGCGCATCACCCGTTAACCAACCGAAAACCATGCCACAACCCATTTTTCTCGTTTTATTATTAAATCCTATTTTAAAATAACTCAATAAAATTAATAATTATGTTTTTGACAAGGTTCATACCGATCCCAATTCCCATTTTCCTCTTTCTCATTGTGGGATGATGGGCCCCCGACAAACCAAATACGGTTGCGACTGCAACCACTCCCAACATGGTCGCACACGCCCTCCTTCGGGGCCCTAGCAGCCCGGCGACCAGCCCACCGCCCGTGACTCACCCTGGCCGCCACGGTGTCCCTCGTCGCATTTCCCCCCCCACGCCGGTTTAAATTCCCCCGACTGCCGGTTGAGCCTCCCGATTCAATCCCCTAACACCACCCTCCGCGCAGCTGTCGGGCACCCAGCGCCACCGGGCCGTCGCCCCCGTTCAAGGCACCGCCGTGGCCGCAGGGCATGCCTTTTGGGCTGGACTGGCCGCCGCCCCATGGCCCCCCACTCGCCCCCCAGCGACCCCCCTCCTCCCCGGCGGGCCTCCCCGATCGGCGAGGAGGACCATCAGAAGGATCTCCAGGCCCTGCGGGACAGTTGGCGCTTCGCCGCCTTCGTGCAGTTCTGCCGCCTGTTCGAGGAGCCCCTCAGGCTGCGGTCCTACTCCAGCGACACGCTGGAGGGCGCCCTGCTGTTCCCCAACGAGCACCAGGTGTTCCTGTCCGAAATGCTGTTCAAGCTGCTGATGCCGGACCGCAAGAAGGAGTTCAGCGCCGAGGACGCCGACCGCTGGGAGGGGCTGCTCCAAGACAGGATGGGCAAGCGCTGGCATGAGTGGTTCGACCGCAACCCGCTGGAGAGTCGGCGATACTGCGAGATAACACCAATGCTGAGGGTGAGGGGGTAACGCAGCGCCGCCCGGGCTGCAGGCCCCTGCCCTTTGCTGATTTCGGTGGTCTGACGGGCTCCCGGCCTGTGTCGCAGCTGGAGATACTATACATCCTCGCGGACAAGGCCAGCCAAGAAAGCGTCAAGCTGAGGGAGTCGGTGAAGAGCATGGTAGGTGAGCGGCCTGTGGCGCGACTTAGGCGCAGTGCGGGTCGCCGTGGTCGGCGCTGAGCCGGGCCGCCGTTGGGTGACCGCAGGTCGATGACCCGACTCAGACGGCTGACGTCTTAAGGGCGTCGCCCATCGGCATGGACGCCAGGGGCAATCGCTACTACCTGTTCGCCAGCCGCTACGAGGACTGCCGGCTCTACAGGGAGGAGGTCCAGCCCAAGGGCAAAGCGCGGAGGAGGGGCCCCGACGGTGGCCAGGGCGGCCCGCAGTGGCGCACGGTGTGCTCGACGGTCGAGCAGCTGGAGGCGTTCGTGGACAAGTTCCACACGTCGCGCAACGCCAACGAGCGGGCGCTATATGCCGTGCTCAACGACGAGGTGTTGCCAGAGATGCTGCGCTCGGAGAAGGCGCGCAGGCGGGCGGAGGAGAGGGCCGCTCAGCTGGAGGCCGCCCCGGTCAAGCGCTCGACCAGGATCAAGGAGATCCTGACGAGGAAGGAGGAGGAGGAGCGGAAGAGGGAGGAGGACGGGGTGGCGGGGGATGATCGGCAGAGGGGCGGTGGGCAGATGGGCGCGCTGGGGCGGGAGAGGGCGGAGGAGAATTTTTACAATTCGACGCCGATGGGGCGCAGGATAATGTCTGGGCCGTCGAGGGAGGAGAGGATGCGGCTGAGGGAGCAGAGGAGGGAGATGGCGCTGGAGGAGGGGCTGGGGGGGAAGAGGAAGAGCAACTGGACCCCCTTGGGGGTGGGGGTGCGGTGCCCCAAGAGGAACAGGGTGCAAAGGACGCGGCCCGCAGGGGATGTCTCTAACCTGGTGGCCGTCGTGCGCGAGCAGTTCTGTGCGCCTATGCAGATCAACCAGCAGTGGAAGCATCACCAGCCGTTTGTGTCTCCCCAGCTGCCCCAGGCTCCTGCATGGAATGCTCGCTTTCCACACCCCGGGGCTCTGCGACAGACGAACCCCTTTATACCTTCCTTCGAGAGGGGGCAGGGAATGCAGCACGGGCTGGGCGTCTCCAGAAGGGTGCGTATTCAAGCTGCGCAGTGTGTCCAGAATGCAGGGCTTGTCCGTGTTGTTCCTCCTGTGCTTTTGGAAACATCAGATCTATTGAAGGAGCCAACGTTTTCCCACAGCTGGCAAAACTGGGCCAAAAGGGATGCTGCCCTTGGAGGGAGCAACATGTTTGCAAGCATATTGCATCCATATGATCTTTTGCTGTGTTCTGTTCGTGAGGGGTTTACCTGCTTTGAATGGTGTTGATCATTTTCTGTGGTTGGCACAAGGCCAGCAGACGTACTGCCAACTGTCCACATCCAGGGTTGACACCCGAAGAGCTGCACCTTGTGCATGGCAAGCGGCTCAGTCTTGCTTCATTGTGCCGCAGGTGCCCCAATCAACAGCTTCACATTTCGATCGCAGTCAACCAATCCCTGGCTCTTCCCGTCCTGCTGACCTGTGGCACCAACAACTGTTGATGCTTCAACAGCGGCAACAGCAGCAACAGCAGCAACAGCAGCAACAGCAGCAACAGCGGCAACAGCAGCAACAGCAGCAACAGCAGCAACAGCAGCTCCGGCAACAACATCGACAACCCCAGCAAATGTTCTCACCAAGGACTGCTCAGCACCCCACATCGCCAATCCAGCGTTCCATGCCACTGTCTGGCCATGTGCCTGCTGGAGGAACAGCAGTGCAGCAAGCACAACAGGCAAAGCACCAGTTGCTGGCACAAATCTATCAGCGACTACCCCAGGCGCAGAAGGAGCACCTGGCATCGATGGCACCTGAGCAGCGTGCACATGTTTTGCAGAGTTTGCTGCAAAGACACAGGCTGAGAGTGCAGCAGCTGCAGCAGGCACAGCGAGCACAGCAGGGGCCCAGGGTTGCAAACCCGCCCACTGCAGGTGGTGTGCAAGGGATCAGTACAGTGCCTGGTGGGTCCTCCACAGCTCGGAGCCTTGGCCAGCAGGCTACGCAGCAGCGCTTTGGTCAGCAGATGCCACAGATGTTGTTGACAAGCACCTCAGGAGTGAGCATGGACAGCAGAGGGGTGAAACAGGCTCCCTTTCCACAAGCATTAAGGATGCCTCAGTCAGGGTCCCTGGGACAGGTTCCACAAATGCAGTACCCACGTTTGCAGCTGCAGCAGGCGCAGATGCGGTCACGCCCACCAGTGATGGAGCAGCAAATGTGTGTTACAGACATGCAGGGGGTGTTGGTACCAAATGCTGGCATAAGGTCATCAGCACTCCCAAACCATGGAATGGTCCCCATTTCACAGCGGCAAATGCGCACGCCGGAATCCAATGGTGTGCAGAAATCTGGGCCCAACGACATGCAGCAGATGCTGCAGAGGATGCCTGGGAGGCGTGGTTTGGACCAGGGCCAGCCGACCTCACAAGGCGTTGTCCCTGTGAGGACAGCTGACAAGTGTGATAATGGCAACTTGGGGGTTGGAGAAGGGGCACAGGGAGGGGGGGGGACCAAGCAGCAAGCCTGTGGACCCGGGATTCTTAATGTTTGATGGCCAGAGTCAGGCTTGTAGGGGCCATTGCACAGTTGCAAGCCAAATTGTGTTCATTTTTGGGAGGCCTGGTTGTACTCATTCTGGTGCGGGCACTGTTCCGCCACACATTTGCGAGTTCTGGATGGTAGCTCTTGGTGTGGTTGACTGAGTGGCCTTGTGGTGAGACAACTGTGCCTGCGGTCCACAGCTGCAGCACATTTGGCACATGCAGGCAGGAAGGGCTGCGGCTGTGGTTTGGTGGAGGGTCTGCTCGATGGTTTGAATGGTATGCTGGCTGTGTGGGCTGCATTCGCCCATGCAGCACAAGAGGAGATGCCGTTCCCATTGCAGGGAAAGCATGGTGGCAAGCATCGTTGCCTGCAGCGTAGTGCCCTGTCTGACTCACGCAGCCTTATTACTCAAGTGGCATGTAGGAGTGAAGGGGGGAATCGTCTTTTTTTTGAGTTGGATTTCCTAGACTTCAGTACACGCATTTCATTTTAGGCTGATATTGAGGGATTTGTGTACCGGACATCAGTGCATGCATTTTCTTTGCGATGGACAGCTGCTGCCACTGAATACCCGCCAAGGATCTGTGCCATTATCAGTAACCCCATCCTCAGGGGCAAAACTGGACACAGACACAGCACAGCAGCTATTTGGGTAGCGATAGGGTTGTGCAGCAGCACATGCGCGCAACACATGTGCAGGGCACTGGGAATGGCAATTGGCGTCTGTTGCACCCGTGGCCCTCTCTTGAACATGGTTGAACTCTGGCTTTGCTGTTGCTGTGGCCCATGCACCACCAGCCTGCAATGTCAATGCCGGCAGTGTGCATGCGGGTGAAATTCAGGAGAAGTGGCAAATCCCACATCAGGTGGCATGTGACAGCTGCGCACCCAGCCATGGCACCTGAACGCGGCCCCTGTGCCCGGGGCACCTGAAGCATGCAGCTTCAGGGAGAGACAACCATAGGAGCTTGGTGCCTATTGGGGGGCTAGCCTGTTGCTCTGTCCATTGCACGAGTCTGGGCAGGTATGCATCATGCCTGGTTCGCTGTGGGGAGTTGCAATGGCGATTGCGAAGGGTTGGGGAAGGGACAGCGAACACAAATTTATTGTAAACAATGGAACATGTTCTTCTTGCAGCAACCTGCAGTTTGGTCTCCGATGACCGCTCACTGGAAGTGCCGATGTGGCCCCAAGGAACAAACACACCTTGCCCAGATTGAAATACCAACATTGGAATGCGATGTCGTGTGTCCATGGTGCGAGTGTGCACGAGTGATTGCACTGCAGACTGCTCTCAATCATCCAAGGGTGTCCTCGCCATCGTCGTGAGTCGCGCTTCCCACGCGCCAGTAGTGAAATTTGTGAACATTGCAATTGGTTTGTTGAGGTCCAGCAAGACAACGACGAAGAGTGCGCAAGTAGCTTCCAATTCTAGGTCGCTAGCTGACCAATCACTGCCACAGAGTGTGGCAGCAGCACCAAAGAACAACAAGACGACTCGTCGGGCCTGCATGTGGCACAAGTTTGTGTCAGGTGGGAGAAGTTCCCCTTGTTGAGTGCCAAGAGACTGCCTGCAGGCGTGGAATAAAACGTTTTGCGGCAGCAGACTTTGTTCCTTCAGCTGTGGCTACTGGGGATTGTCTTGTGTTTTGAACTTACCCGGCCATTGTGAACGGCTACTGTTACGACTCGCCCAGCATTAATCACAAATGGCGGCAGTTTGATCAGAGTTAACGCAAATGGAAATCAGAAATGGGCTCGGACGTTGATGACCACACCGCGTTCCAGGATGAGGGTGGCAAATACCTTATCGTACACGCAGCAGTGTTTTGTGGGGCTCAAGCCTTGAAAACCCCCCTCGGTACGCGCTCTCGCCTCCCACCCTCACAGCCGCCCACCCACTGCCAAGGTACCGGCGTCCAACCGCTTTCATGCAAGGCAGCGCATGCGCCAACGAAGCTTGATCAGGTCTAGCGGCTGCCATGCCCACTTCACGAAAGGCTACCGGCCGACCAACCGCCGCCCCCGGTTCATGACAGAAGGCGAGCTGACGCGCCCAACCACAACATGTCAAACACATCCGGGCAACGCCCGTGTCACCCAACCGGTGTTCCACGCCGCGCCTTAGTAAAGGCATCGACTGGGACCACTCTCGCCAGCCCTGCCACCCCTCCAATTCGCGACCGGGAGTGGCAAATCCCCACACTAAAGCGCCGATGGCGCCACGCCCATCACGGCAGAGCGACCGGGGCTCGCTACTGTCCCAAACCCGCGATCACCACGTAATGCGCGTTGCCCCTCCGCCTTCAACGCCCCCGGCGCCCCATCATGAGTGGCGCCCGCCATGAACCTCGAAGCACACCGATTCGAGTGCCCATGCCAACGCTGTCCGGCATTCCTCATCATGCCGACCGCGAACTCTGAGAATCACGCATTAAATCTCGGGGGGCCTTGCCCACCCGTTTGTAACGATACTTCGTTATGTCAGATTAACAATCGGGACGGTTTGGCGCACTCAGGGCGCTGGCCCAGTCTCAGCACTAAAACACTCAGACACACTCTTTTCCAGGCATCCTTGGAAGTCCTCACACCGGTTTGCCAAATGTCTCTCCTTACATTACAAAATCAAGCCAAATATCGTGGGTAGAGGTGGGCGGGAGCGAAAAACGAGATAGCCACAAGCTCGTTTCGCCAACCTTAAGTCCCAAGTTCCCCGTTTGCCCAGATCACTGTGAACCAGTTTTTCACTGGTGCAAACAGCCGCTCAGTTCGGTTCCTGGGCTTCATAACCAACCGCGCCCGGTTCGCCCAGGCGCTGCCCATAACTTGACCACAACTTTAAGAATAGTGGCAAACTCTTTCTCACTGAGCCTTGGCTTTCCAAGCTTGAGAACCGGCAGCGCCATCCATCTAACTCCAAGTGCGCCAAGTACTAAAACCTTTGCTGGCCGTTCAAAGGTTCCCACCCAACGGCCCAGTACCCGATTTAAACCTATTCACTGCATTGCATTTCGTAAATCTCGCTTAAATCTCGGGGGGCCTTGCCCAACCGTTTGTAACGATACTTCGTTATGTCAGATTAACAATCGGGACGGTTTGGCGCACTCAGGGCGCTGGTCCAGTCTCAGCACTAAAACACTCAGACACACTCTTTTCCAGGCATCCTTGGAAGTCCTCACACCGGTTGGCCATGGTACCCGCGATGTCTTCCCCAAAGAGGACGGTGTAGTCCGGTAGGACCTGACCGGTAGTCAAATGACCGGCCGGAACCGCGCGGAAGTGGTCGGCGTTGACGGGAAGTTGGGCTTGACCGCGGGACGGGGAGAGGCGCGGTCACGAGGGCCGCGGGGCGTCCAGCATGGGAGTGTCCGGCGAGGAGGCGGCGAGCATGGCGGTGGCCCCCTCGGAAGAAGGCAGAGGAGGAACGCACGGAGTTGGGAAGCGCCGATTGGCGAACTGAGCGGCGATGAAGGCCGCGTCCCGGCGCATCCACCCAAACCAGTCGGCATCCTCGGAGGTAGGGGGATGCGCGAAGTCGATGTAGGTGAAAACCGCGTCGCTGCCGAAGCTCCAGCCGCCCCAGTAGCAAATGGTCTCGAGGGGCACGCCGATGGCATGCGCAGCAGTGGCGCCACCCCGCCGCAAATCGTGATGGCGAATGGTGCTGCCGAAGAGTGCGGGCCACCAGGCCTGGGCTTGGGTGCAAATGGTGGCGACCCAGGAGGCCCGAGGAGGGGGCTCGCCCGGCAGTTGCCAAAAGGCCGGGGGCGGGGGATGGGGCCCGAAGGCCGAGCAGCGGGCCGCGCGGTAGGCCTCCAAGATCTGGAGGAGGCGGGGGATGCCCGAGGGGTCGAAGGCGCGGACACGATTCTGTAGACGATCCGCGCGCTTCCGCTTGAACCGTACCTCGCGAAAGATAATCTTGCCGGCTGCGACCTCAAGGTCGTGGGCTTTGATCGGAAAGGCGGAGTCCCCTCTGTTGAAAAAGGCGAAGTCCAGCGCCAGTAGGAGGACGGCGCGCAGTTGAGGGAGGGGGGCGTCGAGGGTGATCCGGTGCAGCAAGGTAGACAGGGTGCTGGCCGGAAAGGGGGTGGGCTGGTCGCGGGCCTCGGTGTCGGCGATCTCGAGGCGCCAGGAGGCCAGAATCGCGTTGGAGGCCGTAGAGGAAGCAGACCAGTTGTCGACGCCGAACCAGCGATGCACCGTGGTAATGGCAGCGAGATATTGCGGTGCCGAGCGGACGTTGATCCCCGACTGACGCAGTGTGTCGATGTAGAGCAGGATGCGGCCACGATGGGCCGGGACCGGCGAGCAAGGGACCGAGCGGCAATACCGCCACCACCGCTTGAACTTGGAGATGATGCTGGAGCGGCCCGATGGGGCGTTGGACGTGGACAGGGCCCGGAGGATGGAGGCGGCCTCGACAGCGGAGAGGCCAGCGACGACCGGAGGCGAGAAGGAGGGGTCCACGAGGGGCGGCCACGAGGTAGGTGGACGGAAGAGTGTGGAGAGTGAATCCTGGAAGGAAGGGGGGGCTTGAACAGTGGTGTCCTGCCGAAATGTGAAATCCGCTGTAGGACGCTCTGAGCCCGCCAAGGGTAGAGTGGGCGCGGGTCGCTGGAGGCGAGGGCGCTTGAATCCACCGGAGGGGGGCGGGTCTTGAGGGGTCGCAGTGGGGCTCAGGGGAGCGGCTCCAGATGGTCGAGCTGGGCTGAGCGCGCGAGGCGCTGCCACTGGCGGGACCGCAAAGCAGCCACCATAGGAGGTGGCGGGGCGGGGCGGTCCACGCGGAGCGCCACAATGCGCCACCTCGGGAGGCCCTGAGGCAGGTGCCCTGAGCGTCCGGAGAGGAAGGTCGAGGGGCCCCGAGGAATGGGGACCCAAGCCCAGGCGATGGAGTGGAGC